GGGTTGATCTCTTCCATTTCAAGAAATGATGAATATATTCACTAGAGCAGAGTTGCATGTAAAAATGCAATTGGTTCTGAATCCCCTATTATAGTTGGAGCTTTCCTTTCCTTAATCTTGTCACTATTCACCTTTCCAACCTGCTTCACTTTGTGTAAGTAATAGCTGAGAAAGAAAACCATAAGGAGACTGGGGTTATGGTGATGCTGAAGCAGAAGATGCAACTCGTAGGTTCTGTGTCCTAACTATGTTGTGATCTTTCCTTACTATCTCTCATGTTGGCTCCAAAATAAGAGTAAAGAGAGAACTTAAAGTGTGCTACCATAAAACTAAAGTATCAGCAAAGGAAAGGGAATTTTGGAAACTGGGCCCAGAAATAGTTAGGAAAAGCACTCCAGGGATGCGTGGGAGACATTTGCTACATCTGAGTGTGCTGTAAAACACAAAACAATTACTGCTTCTTGGACATGAAAATAATTGAACTTGATTCTACTGAATAAAATAGGGATAAGAGATGGACAATAGGAACGAGAAAGTATTTTTCAATCGAAGTGTCTTTATGCCACAGAATCCTCACCAAAAATCCATGTAAATGTACAGTATATAGCATGGAAAGAGGTTCAGAGGGAGAGTTTCCTTTTCATCAAAAGAGCCACAGTGATGAGAAGGCTTATAAATGTACAGTCTTCCGAGAAGCTGCCAAATTCTGCTTTGCTGTGGGGTTGAAAGGGGCTGGGAAAAGATAAAACAGATTGTATTACATTTACCTGTAACCTTAGATTAAATTAATAAAATACAATTTGTATGAATTTTTTTCTGTCATAGTTAATGATCTTAGAGCACATTACAAATGTGATTATTCTTGGAGGGACCATAATTGAAGGTTTTAGAGTCCAGTTTGAACTTGTTAACTGAAAAGTGGCTTAGTGATACTTCTTAGCATTGTGGAAATATCTGTACCTTTAAGTCTGTTCTAAAGTATTAGTTGTTCCTTTGCCTTCTTGAAGTAACATCTCTAACACCTTTCTGCACAAGCTAGAAGGTTTTAACAGCAATGGTTGAGCAGAAGTGTCTAAGCAACCTCACAAACATAGGCCTTGCTGAAATCAAGGAAGGTGATCTGGTAGATAGCTTAAGCAGCAGTTAGAGGTGCTGAGAAAAGACCTGGAGGGATCGATCCTGTTTTGCTTGACTGGCTTAGGTGATCTGATCCTATACTGTCCACCAGGTTACTGTGCTGTTTTCAGTCTTGACAAGAAGCTTTTGAAACCACGTTTTCTCAACTGCAACAAACTTGCAGAGTGTTGAAAAAAATGGCAGGGAAAGAAGTATTAATTGTCTATGCACACCAAGAGCCCAAATCTCTAAATGGTTCATTTAAAACCTTAACAATGGAAGAACTGAAGAAGCAAGGCTGTACTGTCACTGGTTCAGACTTGTATGAAATGCAATTTGAGCCAAGAACAACTAGGAAAGATATAGTTGGTGAATTATACAATTATACAGGTCATTTTAATTATGGAATTGAGGCCTGGAAAGCTTATGAAAATGGATGTCTGACTGAAGATTTGATTGAGGAGCAAAAGAAAGTGAACAAAGCCGATTTGGTGATTTCCCAGTTTCCTTTATATTGGTTTAGCATGCCAGCCATCCTGAAGGGCTGGATGGAAAGAGTCTTAATCCAAGGATTTCCTCATGATTTCCCAGTGTTATGATTCTGGCTTAATCAAGAATAAATTAGCTTTACTTTCATTTACCACTGGAGGAGACGAAATGTATTCAAGGAGAGGACCCAGTGATAATATTCGTTACCTTCTCTGGCCCATGCGGCATGGAATCTTACACTTCTGTGGCTTCAGTGTCCTTTCCCCTCAGATCTGCTTTGCCCCTGAGTATGTGACAGAAAAGACAACATGTTGACTTCATGGCTCAAACGGCTGCAGACCATTTGGGAGGAGAAACCTATTAATTGTGTGCCGGAATGGTACTTTGGGGACATTTGAAAATGGAGCAGGGAGATGAATACGAAAAGATGAAAGTATTTTCTGAAACT